GCAGTAACAATTTGTTTAATTTTGTTTTGGTTGATTCGAGCCACATCACCAGCGGCAAATAAACCAGGAACCGAAGTTGAGCAGTCTTCTTTGATAGTAATGTATCTTTCTCCATCACAAATGCCTAATTCATGGGTAAAACTGCTGAATGGAGAAAGTCCGATACAAGGAAAAACGGCATTGACTACTAATTCACTTTTTTTATTATCTAATAAATTACTAATAATAACTTTTTCTACCTTTTCTTCTCCTTGGATTTCCGTGAGAATAGAGTTCAATAAAAAAGTTATTTTAGGGTTGTTTTTGGCTCTTTCGGTGATTTCTTTTTCCGACCGAAAAGTCTCCCGGCGGTGAATAAGATAAACCCGACTGGCAATATTACTCATATACAAAGCCGTTTCTAAGGCTGAATAACCTCCTCCCACCACTGCTACTTCCTTACCCCGAAAAAGAAACCCGTCGCAAATTGCACAACTGGAAACCCCATGATTAGTCAATTCCTTTTCTCCTTTAATTCTTAGTTTATTTTCAATTGCCCCCGAAGCAATAATTACTGACTTACTAGTAAAATTGTTTCCCTCATTGGTTTTAATAATAAAATTTTTTTCCTTTTTTTCTAGACTAATAACTTCGGTTTGCTCTCAATTAATTTGGTAAGATTTAGCATGTTCAGTCATTTTTTCAGCTAACTCCGGTCCCTTAATGGAAGTAAAAGCAGGATAATTATCGACATCCTCAGTTTTATTTAATTTTCCGCCTGACAAGTATTTTTCCAAAATTAGACATTTTAAGAGAGCTCGGCGGGCATAAATGGCCGCGGTCAATCCGGCTGGTCCAGCACCAATAATAATTAAGTCATAAGACATATATAAAAAAGTTTTACAAGTTTTTTGCTAAAATTAATTATAGTTGCAAAGCGCTTATAGTTCAGTGGATAGAATATTTGATTGCGGTTCAAATGGTCGGAGGTTCGATTCCTCCTAAGCGCGCCAAATTCTAATAAAATGACAAAAAAAATTAAAATTATTGGTTTCGGGTTAAAAGACCAAAAATATAATCCTAAAATCAAAGAAGGACAGTTAATTGGAATTGCTATTCAAACCTGACGAGATTACGTTTGAAGTAGTTGTGGTTATTTAATGGTTCCTAATGACCCAGTGGCGATTCAAAATTTAGAAAAGAAAAAACTAAATCAAGAGTACTTTTTTTACTTGGAAACTGACATGCGAGTAGAAGAATTCACCGAAGATGTAATCTCCGATGAAGGAGAAAAATTAGGAGTCATTGGGAAGAAAAAAATCTATGTAGAAGACCCTGATTGAGGGCAAAAAATCAAGTTAATTTACTGTCATACCATAAAATGTTTTGTTCCCAAAAAGGTGATCCAAAACGAAAATAATTTGCTTCATATAGAAATAGAGCCAATGGAATTTTACATTGATGGTCTAATTGATAAATTAATATTTACCGGAGAAAAAATTAACCAATATCGTAATTTAATTACGCAAAACTTAGGAAAAGAGTTCAAAATGGCCATGCCGATTTTTGATAGTCCTCCCTCAGTAGATACTAATAAGTGGCATGAGAAAGACAAAATTGAGTTGGCGGAAGAAAAAACCAGTGCTAAGCCAGAAAAAACTGTCCTGGAAATAAAAAAAGACCTTGAAAAATATTACCGAGAGAATGATATTAAAATGGTAAAATTAAGTGATGAAGATAAGGAGTTGATGGATATCATTTTTAATAGTGGTAAAAAACAATCTAGTAATACCTTTTCTAATCGGTGCGATAAACAAAAATTAGAACAAGTAAAAATTTATTTAAAAAGTAATAATAAGGAAATCCTTAGTTATTCTGAGTTAAGCGGCAATTCTAATATTAATCATTCTCATAATCCTAATAAAGGAAGCGGCATGAGTGGTGGAACAATTGTTTTGATAATAGTTGGTGTGATATCAGTGGTGGGTTTTTTTAGTTGATTGATATGAAAAGGAAAAAGAACCGATGCTGCACCTACAACAGTCAGAATCAGAAGATGAGGATAGACAAAAAAACATATGAGCGAAAACAATAAAGAAATTAAAATATAATGTCAAGTAATTTAAAAATATTTGCCCTAGGAGGCTTACACGAAGTTGGAAAAAATTGTTATGTTTTAGAAAAAAATGAAGATATAATTATTGTTGATTGTGGAATTAAGTTTCTTAATGGCAGTAATTTGGCGGATGGCACCATTCCTAATTTTTCTTATCTCTTAGCCAACCGAGAAAGAATTAAAGGTTTGTTTATTACTCACGGTCACGAAGACCATATTGGCGGTATTCCTTATTTATTACAGTTAATTCCAAATATTCCAGTTTATGGTTCCGAATTTTCTGCTTCCTTAGTTAAAAATAAATTGAGAGGGGAAGAGTTAAAAAAAAAAGTGGAGATTTTTCATGAGGACAAACCAATTCGAGTGGGTGAATTTAGAGTCAGTTTTTTCCGAGTAACCCATTCCATTCCTGGTTCTTTTGGTCTAGTAGTTGAAGTAATTAAAGATAACCTTAGGATAGTTATTACTGGTGATTTCAAGTTTGACTGAACTGAAATTGGGGAAAAGTTTGATTTAGTTAAGTTAGTCGAATGAGGAAAAAAAGGGATAAATTTACTACTTAGCGACTCAACTAATGCCGAAGTAGAAGGGAATACTCCTTCTGAATCAAAAATAGTTAGGAGACTAGAAAATATCATTGCAGAGGCCACCGGAAGAGTAATTATCACTTCCTTTGCTTCTAATGTTTACCGGCTCAAAAAAGTGATTGAAATTGCTAAAAAAACTGACAAGAAAATTGTTCTGCTGGGTTCTTCTCTAGAAAAAATGATGGTAGTAATTGTGAAAACGAGTTTATGAAAAATAGATAAGTCAATTTTTTTGGAAGGGAAAGACATCGCTAAAACTCCTAATAACAAATTAATTATCTTTTGCACTGGTTCTCAAGGCGAAGAAAGAGCCGTGCTTAGTCGTTTAGCTCACCAAATTTATGAGGGTTGAAAAGTGGAAGCAGGTGATTCAATTATCTTAACTTCTTCTCCCATCATGGATAATAAACTTCAAGTAGAAAAAGTTAGTAACAAACTATTCGCTTTGGGAGCTAAAGTATATGAAAATAGCAAAGAAGACTTGCTGCATGCCTCTGGACATGCTTGCCAAGAGGATTTAAAATTAATGCTTACGATGGTTAAGCCTCGTTATTTTATGCCCTTTCATGGTGATTTTAGAATGTTAAAAAAGCATGGACATTTAGCTCAGGAATTAGGGATACCAGCGAAAAATATTTTTGTTTGTAGTAATGGGGAAGTGGTGGAAGCCAAGGGCAAAGAATTTTTTTTAAGTAAAAAAAAACTTCCAGCCCAGCCGAATTATGTGCTTAATGGTCGGTTGCTTCCGATGGAAGAATTAAGTAGCAATCTAACTTTGCGAGAAAAAATGTCCCAAGGAGGTTTTTTACTAGTAGTAATTTTTTATGACAAGAAAAAAAATAAATTGACTACTCCTCCTTATATTTTCACCTATGGTTTTATTAATATGAAAAAAAATGAGAGTTTGATTAATGATTGAAAATTAAAGATTTCTGGAATAATAATGAAAAAAAACCACCCAAAAGAACCAAATTGAGGTGAGGAAATTAAAAATT